GGCAGGTGTGTTTTCATTTTTCCTACATCAGCTGGGATTGCCCGCCTGTGCAGGCTAAAAGCTGCACCATGGAGCTCAGTGAGGTATTGCATCGCTGCCTAGCTGGAAGTTCGGGCACACAGACCGAGCAGCAGGCTGAGACCCAGAAAACGAGACTGAGGCCAGAGACACCAAACAAGGCTGAGTGAGACCCACGTGACAGCCTCTGAGAGGACACTTGGATCCCCACTTGGAATAGAGAACAGAGACCAGAGACCAGAGACCAGAGACCAGGATGAAGCTGGGTGAGCCTCCACATCATTGTCCATGACCCTCACTCGCCACAGCCCCCACCCACAGCCCCTGACACTCTGTCCCCTCATCTGCCCATCCTTCCCTAACACAGGCTTGGCTGTGTGTTGTGCGCTGGTGCTGATGCTGATGACCACGGTGCTGACCAGCACAGGAGCAGTTCCCGTCATCACGCCCCTCGCGACCCTCCTGGGTGCAAGGGGCTGCGACATGGCCCAGTTCAAGTCTCTGTCCCCACAAGAGATGAAGGCCTTCAGGAGGGCCAAGGCCGCCTTGGTGAGTCTTCCTCCCTCTCCCTGCCTCCCCCCACCCCCATGCTGTGGGCTACCCTCCACCCTTCCCTCTGGGGGTCACAGGCCCATTTGGCTCAAGGTGGACCTGTACCCTTCCTTCCCTGGGCTAACCTCCACCCTTCGCACATGGCCTACCTCCTGCTCTTGCTTTGGGGGCTGACTCTTGTTCTTCTGCACTGGAGATGTCTCTCCCATCCTTTAGGACGTTAGCCCCCTGCTCCTGTTGCTAGCCATCCTCCAGCCCCACTGCAGGGGTCAACCTCCAGCTCTCCAGCTGTGGGCTGACCTCTGCCCTTGCTCTCCAGGAAGAGTCCCTCCTGCTGAGGAACCGGAGCTGCAGCTCCCACCCACTCCCCAGGACCCGGGACCTGAGGCAGCTGCAGGTGAGTTGGGAGACTCAGGCCCAGCCCTGCCCTCACCTGACCCCGCTCCTCTGGCTTCTTAGGTGGCCCCTTCACCTTCTCCTTCTCACTTTTCTCTGTGTCTTTGCCCTCCCCAGCAGTCCCCCTGACCTCTTCTCCTCCCCTGCTCACATTGACCTTCCCTCTCTCCTGTCTCCTGCCCTCACCTGTTCGTTCCTCAGCCCTCCTCACCTGTTCTCTCTCACCTGTCTGTCTCCCCTGCTCAGGTGTGGGAGCGCCCTGTGGCCTTGGAGGCTGAGCTGGCCCTGACACTGAAGGTCCTGGGGACCGTGGCTAACTCGACCCTGGGGGACATCCTGGACCAGCCCCTTCGCACGCTGCGCCACATCCACTCCAAGCTTCGGGCCTGTGTGAGTGCTCTGGGCTCCCAGGCCACGTCTGTGGGCTCTGACCACCTGTCTGTCCCCGTGTGTCTGAGACCCTGTTCACTCACCACCCTCCTTTGCCCACAGGTCCCAGCTCAGTCCACAGCAGGCCCCAGGCCCCGGGGCCGCCTCCGCCAATGGCTGCACCGCCTCCAGGAGGCTGAGAAGAAGGTGAGTGACTGGGGAGGGACCAGTTTCTGGGGACAACTTGGGGCCCAGATGATGAACAGCCACTGACCTGTCCTTTCCTCTCCACAGGAATCCCGTGGCTGCCTTGAAGCCTCTGTCACACTCAACCTCTTCCGCCTCCTCGTCCGTGACCTGAGATGTGTCGCTGATGGAGACCTGTGTGTGTGACCCTCAGGCCCACCTGCCTCCTGTCCCAGCATCTTGGGTTTTATTTATGCATCCCCCCCTTTTCTTAATTTATTGCCACCCAACCACTATTTATGTATTTATGTGTGTGAATTGTCAAACTCAGACCTGTAAATATTTATTTTTCTACTTTTTGTAAGAATTGTTCAAATAAATGATAAGAAAACGATGTTTCCTGTGCTGTGGGGCTGTGTGTATGACTGTGCGGATTAGTTTTCTCTCGCCGCCATAACAAGGTTTCCCAAACTTAGCGTCTTCAGACCACACAAGTTTAGTATCTCACAGCTCCATAGATGAGAGCTCTGGGTGGCCAGCCTCTTTCTCCGCCAGGGGTCTCACAGGCTGAAGTCCAAGTGTGGCTGCTGGGATTCTGCTAGGGAGGCCTTGGGAGGAAGGGTCCACCTCCAAGCTCAGTCAAGCTGTTGGCAGAATTCTCTTCCCTGCAGTGGTAACACTGAGGTTCCCGTTCCCGCTGGCAGAAAGCGTCTGTCTGTCCGCAGCTCCTGCCAGCCTCTCACTGGTCCTCGCACACGGACCTACATCTCAGAGCCTGCAGCCACGGGTCACATCCTTCTCGCGCCTGGAATCCCTCTGACTGCTCCTTCCGCCACATTTCTCTTCTGCCTCCAGCTGGACCAAGTTCTCTGCTTTTAAGGACTTGGTGTTTAGACGGGGCTCACGGGGATAATCCAGGACAACCTCTCTCTTTTCACATCTATAAAGCTCAGTTACCTCTGCGAGGGCCTTTTGCCAGGTCACATAAGAGATTCACGGTTCCAGGGTTCGGGCTGGGCGTTGGGGCCACTATTCTCCCACCACAGAATGTGGGTGATTGTGTGCGTGTGTAGTTTCCTTGTGGGTATGTGAGTGGATCACTCAGATGCATTCTGCTACATGTAAATCACATGAAATAAAAGTGCCTTATAACAACACTTATCATTGCACGTGATGAGAAGTGTAGACGGCAGGTCCATTTAGAGCCAAGTTGTTTAATCTGCTCCACAGGCCACATGGAGCTCAGCGCAGAAATGTCGCTAGTGCAGGTTGAGCTGTGCTCTACGTATAAAATAGACCCCGGAATTGGAATAGATTTTATTTTTAAAAAAATGTTTAGATGGTGCCTGCCAAGTTTCTCCTCTGTAAAACTACTATTTTTCTCTTTATAATAAATATGTGGAGGGACTTTGAGACGATGCTAATACCTGTTACTTCTCAAACTGCAACCCATTCATTTTAGCGTCCATTGATGGTGTCAAAGGGTCTATGACAGAGGGGGACATACGGGTGCTCAGAGCCCACAGCCTGAAGGATAATATTATGTCAGTTATCAAATAACTTCTCCTTCCTTTTGCATTATTCATTGGCATTCTACTCTTAGGAAGAGCTTTGCTCCCCTCCGTCATGCATGTATTTGCTAATTGATTTATAACAGCATGGATTACTGAATTCTTATTTCATTCAGTGCATTATAATTCTTTGCTATAACTTCAGTTGATGCTCGAAAGGTCCTCAATTAGGCCAATGGGAACCCTTTCAAGATGGCTCCTAAGCCCTTTCCATGTGTCCCCTCATCCTTTGAGCACCTCCTTGCTTTCTGGAATAAGATGTTCCAGGCTCACCTTGTACTATCCCTGCCTCAGCTCTGTAACCAGCCTTTTCTTCAAGGAGCTCTGGTTCCTCTTCGTGGAGACAGTATTAAAAAATCGTGATCTGGGTGCTAGGTGGGCTGATTGCTACAGGAATATTGTTGCTTCTACCCCCTCTCAATGGACAAAGCTAGGAAATAGATGGATGTACAGAATTTTTATCCACTGTAAAAAAGTAAAATCTCACTAATAATAAGTTTCATGTTGATTGCATGTTGAAACAATAATATTTTGAATATATTGGGTCAAATAAAATATATGTAAAAGTAATTTCACACATTTCTCTTTACTTATGAAATGTGGTTGCTAGAAAATGTTAAATGACACATGTGGCTCACATAATATTTAGATGTGAACAGTGCTGCCTTAGAGGACAGGCTGTCATAGTGGGTCTTTATCTCTGGCTGGTGCTCCATCCTCAGTGTATTAGTGCTGTCTCCCCTCATGACCGAAATATGGACGCCACAGCTCCAGCCACCACACAATCATATGACCGCCCACAAAGCTGGAGTGGCAGAGACTCCAGCCAGCTCTCTATGCTTCTTCTCCTCTTCTTCCTTTACTTGGAGAACCCCTGACTTGAAGTGGATTCAAGAGTGTTCCACTAAAACAACATTCTTCAACCATCCCTGCACCTGTGGCACTAAGTTGTGGCCCATACACACGAGTGAAAGTGATCTGAGCCCCTTTTGAGTTGTTCCTTTAAAGGACATGCCATGCCCTCCTCGTCACCTCTCTCCTTTCTTGCTGAATGACACAAGTGCTAGCAGCCAGCTCACTTTGCCTTCAGTATCTGGGACATGTGCAGTGGCTACAGAGTCCTGTGTTGAGAGCTTACTTTTTTCTTTCAGGACATTGAATTTGATCCTCTTTCTCTGGGGCTCCCTCCATGATGGGCTCTCTCCTCTCAATTTCCAACTGCTCTTGCAGCCCCCAAACTCTGATATCCAGAGTCAACTGTGGAGTTAGGAGTTCTAAGAAAGGCTTTGTGTTTATTCGTGTGGCAGGCTGAAAATGCTCTCCAAAAGATAGCCATGCCCTCATCCATGGAACATGTAAATGTGACCTTATTTGCAAAAAAGGTCTTTTTAATGTGATTACATTAAGGATTTTGGTATGAGATTATCCTGGATTATCAGGGTGGGGCCCTAAATACTATTTCCAGTGTCCTAATTATAAAAGAGAGATAGAGGGAGATCATATACAAAGAAGAGGAGGAGCAAAGACTGGAGTGATGTGCCATAAGCCAAGGAGTTCCAACAGCCACCAGAATATGGAAGCGACAAGGAACAGGTTCCCCCCAAAGCCTCCAGAGGGAGCAGGGCCCTGCTGACACCTTGATTTTAACCCACTGATACTGATCGCAGACTCTGGTCTCCAGACTGAGAGAATAAATTTCTGTTGTTTTATGCAACAGTTTGTGGTAATTTGTTACATTAACCATGACAAATTTACACAGTTCATTACAGAGACTAGGACCCATTCTAGCTCATTTTTGCAGAAAGGGATTTATTATACAGTGTTATGTGACTTATAGAAGTGTCAGAAAGGTTGAACAAATAAACTCTGTGTTGACCATTTAGGTACCACTTCAGAGCCAGACCATAAACCTGGGATTTTCAATGGCCCACCTCTTTTTTAGTGATAAGGACTAAGTGGAACTTTAAGAAAATATACTCAGGCCCAGCCCGTGTAGCTCAGTGGTTGAGGGTCAACCTATGAACCAGGAGGTCAAGATTTGATTTCCAGTCAGGGCACATGCCTGAGTTGACGGCTACATCTCCAGTAGGGGGCATGCAGGAGGCAGCTGATCAATGATTCTTTCCCATCATTGACGTTTCTGTCTCTCTCTCCCCTTCTCCCTTCCTCTGTGAAATCAATAAAAATCAATTTAAACACTTGGAGTGCGGGTGAATTTCCCGCCAAAATATAAGATGGCTCTGTCTTTTGGTTTTTTTCCATCCACCAAAAGGGTGGATTACAAACAAATATTTGGTAATACGCAGTTACAATCGGCCCGAGTTTACACGTTTCCCGCACTCCACCGCAAATCTATATGAACCGAGTTAAAGACGGCTCCCGCGGAGTACGCGCAATTCACGCGAGCCGACTTAACTCGTTTCCCGCACTCCAAGTGTAAAGAAAATATACTCAGTCAAGAGGGTCCGTGGGAGGAGCTAGGGCTTATGGAAGTTCTCACTCTATGCAATTATGAGAACCCTACATGGGAGAACCCTACATGAAGAACTCTGTGTTTATAATAAAGCTCTGTGGTTCTGACTTCCACCCCCCTTAATTTCCTCTTCCCTTCAATAAATAACCCTCCATCTTGGCCAGTGTGTGCATGTGGCTTCATTTGTCTGTGTGCACTGAGTTGCATCCCTTTTTCTCTTCCTGAATAAATCCTTTTTGGTGACAAAACACTTAGTCAATATTATTTTTCAGTAGATTCTATGATCAGGATCTTGACTGCTTACTTAGGAATTGGCTTCCACTGCCATGATCAGGAAGGCAGCACAACCAGGAATTTGTCACAATGATGGGATGACAGCCATCAGGAAACTGCTCTAATCAGAAAGATCACAAGGGGAAAGTAGACACTTCCACAGTGGTGGAGCCAGAAGCATGGCCTCCTCCCCATGTCCACCAGTCAAATGTGTGAGTGCATCGGATTGGAAGAACCAAATGTAAGGCAGATCCTAACTGCAGGGGAGTCTGAGAAATATAGTTTTCAGCTTTTCGGCCCCTGCGTGCAGGAAGGCAGACAAGAGGGAAGTTGAAATGGATGTTCAGCACCAACCCACCACACTCAAGACAGGTTTCCTGGTTGTTAACAGGAGACACCGTCACACACCCACTTAAATGGCTAAAATTGGTAAGATAGAAGGAGCATTTGAGATCTTGCTCCCCGGCATATGTGGCCAGTTTGGCTCAAATAAACTCATTAAAATCCTCTACAGGTTCGGATGTTTCTTACATGAACATTTATCTGGTGCAGTCAGCAGGGTTTTGAAGAAGCTCACCCTGTGGACCCGGACCTGGAGTTAGAGATAAGCAAGGGCCCATGGTGCCCCACTGGCTTCCTGCTCCGCGTTGGGTGAACTTGGGGGAGTCTCTCTCGGAACTGTGGGCCTCCTTGCTGTAAGTAGCAGACCATGGCTTTACTTGAGCTGTTCTTAGAAAATCCTCGAGGTGGATAAGGGTTGCGATGAAAAAAGAAATAAAAGATTGAAAATAACAAGTGCTCAAGTTTAAGAGCAACTGGACTGGGAACTCTGTGAGGGCAGGACCTGGGCTCTCTTGGTTACACTGTGTCCCACTGCCGTGCAGTTCAGGGCCTGGCATAGAGTAGGTACTCAGTAGATGTTTATAAATAAATAAATGAAA